CATAGGACCCAGTGATTATACTCTTGGGCATTTATCCCAAAGAAAAAAGAACTTACGTTCACATAAAAACCTGCACATAAAATGTTATATTCTTAGCATCTTTATTACATGTACCATTTAAATACACTATGAGTGTATATGTTATCATGTAGTATATATACTATTTATGATAATAAAATACAGTGCTATTTATGTAACGCTCTTGAAATGATAAAAACTATGAAGATGGAGAACAGATTAGTGGTTGCCCAGGGACAGGAATGGGGTGGGGGGTTGGGGGCAGTTCTGTATCTTGATAGTGGTAGTTGCATAGATCTGTATATGACATAAAATTGAACTACACACATATACAAGTGGATGCAAGTTTTGTTTGTTTTTTTAAACAACAATGCAGGTGAAAACTGAGTAAGTCCTATAGTCCAGTTAACAGTAATACCAACATTTCCAGTCTTGCTGTTGTGCTAGAACTATGTGAGATGTCACCTTTAGGAAAAGCTGGGTGAAGGGTGCACAGGACTTTACTATTTTTGCAACTTTGTTCACCTGTTATTTAAAAAAAATTTTTAAAAATACAGTATATTGCACACTCATGTTTATCACGGCATTATTCACAATAGCCTAAAGATGGAAGCAACCCAACTGTCCATTAACAGATGATAGTACATGCATACAATAGAATAAAATTCAACCTTCAGAAGTATGAAATTCTGACACATGCTGCAAACATGTATGAACTTTAAGGACATTACGCTGAGTGAAACAAGACAGTCACAAAAGGACAAATACTGTATGATTCCATTCATATGAGGCACCAAGAGTAGTCAGATTCATAGAGATAGAAAGTAGAGTGGTGGTGCAGGATTGGAAGGAGGGGAAATGGGAGATTATCATTTAGTGGGTACAAAGATACTTTGATATTTTGGAGGTAAAAAAAGTTATAAAGATTGATGGTGGTGATGGTTGCACAACAGTGTCAAGGTACTTAATGCCACTGATGGTTAAAATGGTAAGTTTTATGTTATGCATATTTTGCCCCAATTTTTTAATGAAGTATTATTGTATAAGTAACCCATTTATTGTAAAACATACATATTTAAATGAGAACATAAATCTCCTGAATGCTTTTAATTACTTTCATTTTTCATTTTGCAACAGTCACAAACTTATAAAAAGTTGCACGTTCAGTGCAAATGTGCTTTTTTTTCTGGAACAGTTTGAGACTCTTGCCAACCTGATGCCCCATCTCTTCCAAATATTTTAATCTGTATACCAAAGACATTCTCTTACATAACCACAATATTACCATCAAAATTGAGAAAAATTAGCATCAGTATATTGCTGCTGTCTAATTCTTGGGCTCTACTCAAGTTTCACAGTCATCCCAGTAATGATCTTTATGGAAAGGGAGCCAGTTGAAAAGCAGGTATTGTATTTACTTATCACATCTCTTCAGTCATCTTCAATCTGGAACAGTTTTCCAATTTTTCTGTAGCTTTCATGACATTGATACTTCTGAAGATTATAGGTCAGTTGTTTTGTTAGACTGTCTCTGAATTTGAATTTGTCAGAAGTTTCCTCATGAATCAATTCAGGTCATATATTTTTGGCAGGAATATTCCAGAAGTGAGCCTGTGTCCTCATTGCATCTTGTGAGATGATGCATGACTTCGCTATTTCCATTACTAGTGATGTTCACTTTGATCACTTGATTAAGTGTCAGGCTTCACCACTGTAAAGTTACACTTGTTCGCTTTGTAGTTAAGTGTGTTATGGTGAGGTATTTTGAAACTATGCAGTATCTTGTTCCTCATCTAATGTTCAGTTTATTAACTTACATGCTTATATCCATGAGGACTGATAGTTTATTATTTTATTCAATGAATTATACTCCATCATTATTTTGATGCTCAGGTTGTCACTGATTTAAATAGTAGTAACCCCTTCAGGCTGGCTATTGTGTCCTTTTGACATGTTCCTACCATTATGAATGCTTCTAAATTAAAAAAGGAATTATGATATTAATGATTACATAGTATGCTAGTGTAATGATTTAGCATAATTTGCTTAAATAACCCCTTTGGAACATTTTGTTTTACTTTAAAAAAAAGTTTGTATAGTATAGCCTTCTGAAGCCTTGTAACAATTTACACACCTACCATCAGTATGTGTGTACAGGTGTCCCTTTCTCCACACTCTGATTAACAATCAGAGAGTATTTTTAAATACTAGGAATTTCATGCTTACAAGGGGAACTGTTAGAGGTCAAATGACCCTGTACATCCAGCATTAGAAGAGATTATCGGGGCCTCTAGACAAGAGGAGAAAGTAGGGTTTATATGTATCTTTTACTGTTTTTTGTTTTTCTTTTTGCTTTATGTCAGCAGAAAAGAAGATGAACTTAGATAAATAGGTGCTGATTTCGTAAGGCAAACAATTTAAAGTAGATACATTACAATGGAGTCTTTTTTCTCATGACTTGCTTATTTCTCTCAGCAACTGACCAGTCATTGACCTCAAAGATCTTTTTGAAATTCTGAAGCCATTTTCTGCTAACCAGCTGTATGACCTTTGATAAGGTTGCTCACCAGTAAGCCTCATCTTCCTCATCTCTAAATTATGTGGTATCCAACATACCTTCACCCTAAAACTGAAAGATTTTGTGAAATTTTATTCTGAGAGTTGGAAGAAAGTAATTTTTTTGTTAGCTTGCAAAACTGGTTGAACTTTATAGTAAATGTTTTCCTCATGTGTCTAACTTGATAACTGAATTGCAGTAAGTATCAATTCATTGCTTATTGGCTGCTTTTATTTTAAGACTTTGGTTATTAGTCTTCCCTTTGCTTTTAATGTTAAGTCTGTCTTGTGACACTGTTTAGTACAGAGGAACAAAATAACATAGACATAGTTTCCTTTTAAGAATTAAATCATAAAAAGATATCATAAATGAATAGGCATGAGAAAGGTTATTCAATAAATAGGATTATGATAATTGCTTGGCTGTTTAGAAAAATTTTCACTTAGACCCTTGCTTTAGACCATATGCCAGAATAATTTCTAGATGTCTTAAAAATTGACTTGAAAAAACACTCTAAAAGAAGAAAATAAAAGTGGATATTTATTAAATCTTAAGCTTATATGATAGCAAAATAATGAAGAAAATTACTAATGAAAGTAATCAAGTTGACTTCTTAAAAATTATCTTGAAAAAATAGTTTGGCTTATAAAGTTTAGCACACATCGTGTGACCCAGCATTCACACTCCTGGGTATTATCTTAAAGAAATGGAAACTCATGTTCACATAACAATGTGTACACTGATGTTCATAGCAGATTTATTTGTATTTGGAAAATAGGGAAAATAACCCAAGTATCTTACACGGAGTAAATGGTGAAACAAGTATCTATACAATGGAATACTACTTAGCAATAAAAAGGAATGAGCTGTGGAAACATGCCACAACATGGATGGATCTCGAGGGCATTAAGCTGAGTGAAAAAGCCAGCTTCAAAGGGTTACGTATTACATGATTTCATTTAGATAATACTGTAGCAAAATTATAATAATGGAGAGTAAACTGGCGGTTGCCGAGAGTTAAGGTCTAGGGAAGGGCATGACTAGTAAGGGATAACACGTGGAACTTTCTTTATATTGATGACTATTATTGAACTATTTTTCCAACAGTGCTTATCCCAATTATAGTGACAGTTACTCAGATCTAATCTGCCCCTGTGATCAACTTCATTAAAACTACACACACAAAGAAAAAAAAAAACAGTGAAATCTAAACAAGATCTGTAACTGAGTTAATAGGTTGTACTGATGTCAGTTTTGTGGTTTGATCATATACTGTTGTTATTTACCATATTCTTTGTAAGAGTAACTGGGTGGAGTATACATGAGAACTCTCTGTGCTGTTTTTGCAACTTTTTATGAGTCCTAAACGATTTCAAAGTGGAAAATTACAAAAAAATTAACTTATAAACTTTGGTACATCCAGACAATGGATTATTCAGTACTTAAAAAAAAAAGAGCTATCAAGCAATGAAAAGAAATGGAGGAAGAACCTTAAATACATATTACTAAATGAAAGAAGCCAATCATACAGTTTTTACAGGCTACATACTCCGTGATTCCAACTATACAATATTCTGGAGAAAGCAAAACTATGTAGACAGCAGAAATATCAGTGGATGCCAGGGCAGGGGAGAGGGATGAATAGAATAGGTAGAACACAGATTATTTAGGGCAGTGAAATTATTTTGTGTGATATTATAATGGTGGATACGTGTCTTTCTTTATGCATTTGTCCAACACCAAGAATGAATCTTAATATGAACTATGGACTTTGGGGAATAATGTTATGTCAATGTAGGTTCATCAAGTAACAAATATACCACTCTAGGAAGATGTTTATAATAGAGGCTATGCATGAATGGAGGTAAGAGATACCCCCTTCTGCTCAATTTTGCTATGTACTTAACACTTCTCTAAAAAAATAAAGTCTGCTAAAACAAAAACAAAAGCTAACTTGGGTCAGAAATAAACACTGAAAAGCAAGTGAGGGAAATATTTGTGGCCATTATTAGAGATAAAATTTTCATGTCTTTTATTTATTAAAAAAATTCATACAACTCCATAAGGCAAGTCCTGTGTCCCCAGTGAACTGGAAAGAGAGCTTAACAGAACAAGTAAGTGCCCCAAGAGAGATTTTTGTAAATGTACTTTTGTAAATGTTTATTTGAAATTTTCTGGAGTCCCCAAATTCAGTAACATACTACCAATGCCCTTAGAAACATAACACTGGAAGAGAGAGAGGTTTTTTTTTGGGGGGGGTTGCCATTATTTTATAGCTGTGTAGAGTAATCTCACCTAAGATAAAAATAGTTTAAAAGATAAGTAGCATTGTAAGTTTGCATTGTTTTGAAGTTTCTTTGGGATAATTTTGAAAGACTTTATTCTATGTAGTCTGTTCCCTCAAAAAAATAATCTTTTTTTTCAGGTGTAAATTAATTATTGAAAGCAATTGAACAATGGAGCCAGACATCATTCGAATGTACTCTTCATCCCCACCACCACTAGACAATGGAGCTGAGGATGATGATGACGATGAATTTGGGGAATTTGGTGGGTTTTCTGAAGTTAGCCCTTCTGGTGTAGGGTTTGTTGATTTTGATACACCAGATTATACTCGTCCCAAGGAAGAGTTTGTACCTTCAAACCATTTTATGCCAATTCATGATTTCTCAGAAAATGTAGATAGCCTTACAAGCTTTAAATCCATTAAAAATGGTAGTGATAAGGACATCACTGCTGGACTTTCTTCTCCTGTGAAAGGACAGTCTGATGTTTTACTTTCTACCACCAGCAAAGAAATAATTTCATCTAAAACTTTAGATACTTCTATTGATGGCATAGAAAGTCCAAGAGATTTTAATAAAGTAGTGGAGCAGAGACAGAATGTTGGAACACCTGAAAGTTTCTCTCCCAGAGATTTTAGAACTGATCTGAATGTTATGCATCAAAACAAGCAGTTAGAGAGCTGCAATGGTGAAAAGCCTCCTTGTCTGGAGATTCTAACAAATGGGTTTGCAGTAGTGGAAACTGTAAATCCTCAGGGAACAGATGATCTGGACACTGTAGCTGATTCAAAAGGACGAAAACCTCTTAGCACTCTTAGTACTGAATATAACTTAGACTCTGCACCTAGTCCTGCTGAGGAATTTGCAGATTTTGCCACATTTTCCAAGAAAGAAAGGATACAGCTAGAAGAAATAGAATGTGCAGTTTTAAATGATAGAGAAGCACTAACCATTCAGGAAAACAATAAAATTAATAGAGTCAGTGAACTGAATTCTGTAAAAGAAGTGTCTTTAGATAAAAGCTTGGACAGTAAGGGAAACATTGCTGGAGAGGATCAGGTTTGTGTTTCAGAAATAAACCTAGCAAGTAACAGAGGTGTCAGCAGTGGAAAACAAGGCCTTCCAACGTTGCAGCAGGATGAATTTTTAAATTCAGGTGTTCAATCAAAGGCTTGGAGTTTGGTAGAGTCAGCTGAAAATTCAGAAGCCAGTAGGAGAGAACAACGTAAAACTGAGGAAGAACTTGATTTATGTACCTCTAAATGTGCTGACCTGTGCAAGGATTCTACAGAAACTTCTGATGCTGATGATAAAGTTGGTTCTTCCAAAGAAGAAAGTAGAAAGTTTACTTATTCCCAAAGCCTCAGCATTGATCCTGCAGAAGAAAATGTTTTGGATGATTCTGTAAGTGTAAAAACTGGTGATAGTAGTAATGACTTTGTGACTTGCAACGATACCATTGAGGATGATTTTGGTGACTTTGGCACAGCCAGTGGCACAACTCCACCTTTTGTTACTGGTACTCAAGATTCAATGAGCGATGTCACTTTTGAGGAATCCTCAGAGCACTTTCCACATTTTAGTGAACCAGGTGATGACTTTGGTGAATTTGGGGAATCAAATGCTGTTTCCTACCAAGAGGAAACTATATTTACCGAGTCAGACCTAAAACAGACCTCTGATAGTTTATCAGAGGGATGCAATTTGGCAAGAAAATTTACTGGGACAGGCACTGAACCTGTTTCAAAACTGAAAATTGGGCAAGAAGGTGAGTTTGGAGATTTTGATTCTGTGCCAAATATTCAAGATGACTGCAGTGCTTTTCAAGACTCTGATGATTTTGCGGATTTCAGTTCAGCTGGTCCTAGCCAAGCTGTAGATTGGAATGCTTTTGAGGATGGACAGAAAGATAGCTGCTCTTGGGCTGCTTTTGGAGACCAGCAGGCTACTGAATCTCATCATCGAAAGGAAGCCTGGCAGTCACATAGGACAGATGAAAAGATCGATACTCCAGGAACCCCCCAAACACACAATGTCCCCTCAGCGACTTCCAAAGGAGCAGTTGCTGGTGGTCATTTACAGGAAACAGCCACTTCGGTTCAGGTATTTACTAATTTTCTCTATTTTGTATGGCATACTAATTGGTGTGGAGGCTTCTAATTCAGCTTTTCAAAAAGTATTTTTTAATTGGGTACCTGTTAAAGGAATCTCTTTATGATATGTAATGCTTGCCTGATTTGTGGATTAGTTACCTGTTTCACATGTAAAAACCCTTTGGTTAACTTTAAATAGACATTCCTGTAGTAATGCTTAGTAAGATTTTTTTTTTTACCTCAGTGAGTTTCTTTAATATTTACAGAAATTCATCAACTTGGTTTTCTGATAAGTGTAAATACCACTTATGTAAAAATCCATTAATTAGCTAATTAACTATTCTAGCAGGTCCTCCAGTTTTTACCTTTATAGTGATTATAACAGAAGGTTAAACTGAGATTTAGAACACTTTAAGTCTCAGAAAATAATGTCTCTTAATTTTGTCTCTCAGAGACCTAGTTTTGGCTGCAGAAGAGAGCAAGCAGAATTTGAAACTTCAATCTGTGCTGAAGGCTATAGGGCATTGAAGGGTAGAAAAATAATTTGAAAAACGCAGATTTGGACCTCAGCTAATAAAAGCCTTGTGGGAGAGTGAAATGGGTTAAGGGTTAGACCTAGAACAAGAAACAACCATAGTTTGACTCATTGTGGCTGTATTTATTTGCTTATAATTCATTGCAAATGTACATTTATGTTTATTTTTCATAGGTAGTAGGTTTGTTAGGGAGAATATTCTTACCCCTTAGCCCCTGCTCTTTATCCTTTTGTGGTCCAGATTCTTTCAGAGAAGATTCATTAACTTATTTGGATGTAAAGTAGCCTCTAGAGGTGCAGTTTGACATCCAGGTTATTCTTGTTCCCCAGTCCTGAGTTCTACACTGTGCTAAATTTAACTTTTCTTCAACCCCACGGGTGTGGAAGAGAGCACTCTGTTGGAAATCACTGCTTTTTACTGATACTGATATATGTAACACTTGGTCCACGGGCCTATTTTAAAGATAGTGAGAATAAAATCAGAATCTATGAATTCTGTTTCTCCAGTTACCTTTTGCTAAGCAAGCCATTTTCTATTGGAAATATTTCCAAAGTATAAGTATTAATTAAAATGGTTCTACGGCACTGCTTGTCATATCTTTGATACATTAAGTTATTATAGAAATTATGGTATTATGGTATTAGTTTGCACAACTAATCACTTTTCATTTGATGTTGAGTGTCTGAATAGTTTAATTTGCTAATTCACTTATTACATGGTTTAGCTAATGTGTGTTTTTCCTGTTGAGTAATTCATTATTGAGGGAGAAGCTTACAATTTTAAACAAGGAATGAATTAATTATATAATGCAAAGAGAAGACTGTTGGTTTTGACCTAATCCTTTCTCGATTTAGTTTCATCTTACTAGAGTATAGGGTGACACTGGTATTGGATGTTCTTTAATTTATAGCTTAGAACTTTTAACATCATCAGATAATGAATTTTTTAAAGCATGACCACTTCAGAAAGGAATTTTTTGCATCATACAAGCTGATTAAAGTTATTTATGTGTAATTTGATGACAGGATATAGGAGGTAATAAAGTACGTGGGCTTTATGGAATCTGAGTTTGAATCTTGACTCAGAGTCATGTAAGCGTTATGATTTTGAACAAGTTACTTCTGAACTCAGTTGTCTGTAAAAAGGAGGTAACGTCTACTGCAAAGGACTTTTGTGAAGATAAAATGACAGTAAATTTTAAAACAAGTGAAAATCTACTGAAGAATAAGAATTTTGTGGTATGATTCTATTTTGTAAAAATAAAAACAGTATAGATGTGTCAAAATACATTAAGACTTCCTGAGATTTGTTTGGCTCAGTCCTCAGGCTTTTACTTTTGCTGAATGGGTTATGCGCAATGAGCAGAACTTGGAGATGGATGCTAGAAGGGGGGCTGGAAGAAGTTTGGAAGGAAATTGAGGTAGGGAAATGGGTAAGCCCTGCTGGCAAAGTGGCTTGAGTTGGAAAGTGACTTTCATTCCTATCCTGCTGTTGTGAAAGGAGGCTTGTGACTTGCAGTCTGTTCTTTTTCCAGAATCTTCTAGGAACATGCATTAATCTAGTCCTCTAGAAGAGGATTATATTTATTAATATTTTTTCTTAAAATGTTTCTCCTAGTTGCTACTATTTTGGGGATGGCACAGAAGTCCCCACATATTAATGACCGTAAACATTTTTTAATGGTAAAACTTAGAGTGGTTTCTTCCTATTGAATCTTACCTGGATGCAGCAATTCTGTTCTGAACAGAATGCCATCAGATTCTGCTTTTACAGAATGTTGTGAGAATCTTTTAAAATTCATAGCTCAGTTAATTTCAGTTAAACAGACATGGGGAACAGTTCTCTTGTGTGAAGTCAAACAAATGATACAGTTATCATTTCAGAATTCTTTGACTTTTTGCTGTGTAGGTGACATTGTCCAAGTTCCTATTTTTTTAGTACTTTGCTTTTTTCAGCCTACCAAAAGGATATCTTAACATTTTAATAAAATCTGTCTTCCTTGGGTCAAGAGACAATTATTGCAGCTTTATTGCAGTAATTTGTTACTTAAGGAAATGTTAACCAAGAAGAAATATTTCAAACTTATAACTGTACTTAGTTAAACTAATTCTCAGATGTGGGTCCAGCAAGCCTCGAGTGTTCAGGCCTTGATGTAAAAGCCATAATAACCATTTATTAAGAAATACTCTTCCCCTTCAGTGAGTATTTTTTTCTGAGAACCCAGAGTTCAGTTTATTTCATTCTCTTGTTAACATTATTATAAATTGTAGAGAAAAGCAAGTTAATGGTATCTCTCTTGTACAAATTGGAAAAAAGTCAAAACTATTCTTCACTTTCATGGCTAAGATTTTCAACAAAACAAAATGACAATAACAAAAAACAAAATCCTCCTTACTTTGAAAGCAGTTCTTTTCCCAGAAGACCATTATGTATATTGTTTTAACAGTGTTTTGGGTTTTTTTGTAAGCTATTAATGTTTCAGAAAGGAACCTTGATTGAAGTGGCCAAGATGCCTTTTCTTAGGTATCTGGTAAAGGAGATAATGTCATAAGCACTGTATTAAACTCTGAGCTTTTGTAAAATTTTTAAAATACTGCTGTGGGTGTTATTTGAGAATTTAGGTAGTTGGTAAGTAATCTCTTTATATTAATTGGCTATAGAAAAGGAAGCTATGAGTCATTTTCTTTTATTAGCCATCTAGTTGATAATGCTTGAGAAAATGTTATTAGATGAAAATTTATCTTGAGAACTTTCAAAATTAATAAGAGTACCACAGAAATGAAAAAGAGAATCACTAATACTTTGGCTTATGTTATTTTGCAATTAAGTTATTGGTTTGCTCACCAGAGTCTAGTCAGGGTTCGCAGACTGAGTGTAACTACATTTTCACCTTCATTTATTTAATCACTTACCTAAGATTTGTGCAGGTTTTCCTTTCTGTAGGTGAACACTTGAACTCTTGACTGAAAACATAAGTAAACAACAAAACAAATCGAAGTGATCAAAAGCTACAAACTTATAAAATAAATAAATAAATAAAGTTATAAAATAAATAAACCCTGGAGATACAATATACAGAATGGTAACTATTATTAATAATACTGTATTGTATATTGGGAAGTTGCTAAGAGTAGTTCTTCGAAGTTCTCATCACAGGAAAAGAAAAATTTGTAACTATGCTGATTATTTTGCAATATAAACATATATCGAAGCATTATTATGTAATGTTGTATGTCAATTATATCTCAACTTTTAAAAAAAGAAAGAAATTGAGATTTTGGTCTTACAGCTCTATGCTTGTTGCTTGAAGTCTTTGGAGAGCAATTCCTTTTGTTATTTTTCCCTCAGAAACTTTGAAATTCTGGCCTTTAATTCCAAAATAGAAATATTTTACTAGCTTTATCCCAAAATTGTACATAAGGGGCAAACCATCTTTTAGAGCATAGTGAATATTACAATTGATTACTCTTCTTATATAGCTTGAAATTGGGGATTGATAAGTCTACAATTGTAGATTGCACTTGATATCTTACTTAATATTTAATAGTGTTAAGGAATAAGGTATCCTCTTAAATGGAAGATTAAATTGCCCGGTGGATTTTATGTTTCTTCTAAACTTCCACTTAAGAACAAGGCCTAGTGCTATCAGTATTAAAACTATTGACATGAATCAACTGCTGTTTGTAGGGAAGGAAGGAAAATCAACTAGAAATATATTGAAGGAATTTTAGAAATTACCTTAAATACAAGATATTTTAAAGGAAGGAGTGTTTGAGTGGCCTAAGTACCAGAGTCTAGGATCCTCAGTGCTGGTTTATACTCTCCTTTGGAAAACTGAATGAGAATTTCAATACACTTAATCCTTTTATACTCCAATGTAGTCATTTACAAAATAGAGGTGAATTAATCAAGGTTCTCCAGAGAAATAGAACCAGGAGGGTGGATGCATGCGTGCATGGAGAGAGACAAGACAAAGAGTGAGTTATTATAAGGAATTGGCTCATGCAGTTATGGAGGTGATCACAGAAGTCCTAAGATCCACATTTTGCAAGCTGTCTTCAACTGATTGAATGAGGCCCACCCATGTTAAGGAAGACAGTCTGCTCTACTTACTCTACCAATTGAAATATTAATTTCATCCAACAATACCCTCACAGGCATATCTAGAATAATGTTTCACCAAATGTCTGGGCACCTCATGGCCTGGTCAAGTTGACAAATAAAATTAACCGTCACTAGAGGGAAGCCATATGCCCATATATATAATACAGCTTTCAGGATTTTTGGAAGACTTGTAACCTGTTTGTAACTGAGCCATATCAGTTGAGAAGCTTTGCATTAAATAATATGACTAATTTGCACCAGTGGATAAAGTGTAATGGCTGCTTGTATACCCCAGGGTTTTCCTCTTCCAAACCCAGACATGGAGATTCAGCAGAACTGGGAATGAGTATAAGTGAATTCATGCATAGTGCTTTCCCCCACTGATGAATTCAAACACTGGGTAGTCATTTCTGCTTTCCCAGAAATCCAATCTGGTTTGAAAAAAATGAAATATAGATACATTCAAAATAATGAAGGACCTTGATAGGAAAAAAATATATATGAGAAATGAGAAAATTGGGAAAAATAGAGAAATCCTATAAAAGCCAGTGTACCTTTGGAGACTACTATAGCCAAGACCACATATGACTCTTGTGAGCCCCTTCCCCATAAAAGATATTTAAAATTCTGTTTTGTAATTTGGTATAAAGATGAGTATGTTAATATTAACGATTAAAACATTTTTATGAACCCCTAAAATTATTGTGGGCCCTCGGCCCTGTGCCTGCTGCGTAAGTTGGCCGTGGTTATAGTGTAGTGCTTAAAACGTAAGACTCTGGAGTCACACTGCTGGATTCAGATCCAGGTTTCAGCACTAACTTGCCTTAGCCACTTCCCTGAACCTGAGACTTAGAGAATAGTAGTTACTTCAAAACTCTCATTACAAAGATAAAATGAAATTGTGCATGTAAATGTGCTTAGTGCAGTTCTGCACATAACAAGTGCTCAGTAGGTGTTAGCTGTTACAGAGTAATCTCAGAAACACACTTCTTAGGAAATGGTCTTCAAAAGTGCAGGAAATAGTGTTGCCAACTGGATTTTTTGGTGAACAGCGCAAAGTAAAGGGGGGCAAATGAGAATTTGTGTGGGAGTACTCGTAGTTCTGGCTATAAACCCACCTGTCAGACCATTTAGAGAGCAAAACTGCTGCTTCTGGCTAGTTTCTGCTCTCGGAATAGTTTTGAAAGGTAGGAGCTCTTCTGAGCACAAGTGCTCTTCTCTGCAAATAGTAGACCTCTGCCTTTGGCTTCCTAGTTTTGGACACGATAGAGAAAATGAAAAGGGAGCCTGGTACCTGCCTGGAAGAGCATTTAGCTTTCAACCCTGCATTTCAGAGATCTCTGTTCTTAAAATGTTTCATGGCCAGATGTGCTGCTGTTTGCAGGCTTAAAATTTGGTATGTGTATGAATTGACAGACATGGCTGACTTACATAAACTTACTCAGCTAACCAGTCACCAGTTTCCTAATTCCAAAATCAAGGGAGAACTGATAACTACTTTGACTTTGAAGTTAAAGACATTTGAAATTTAAGTGATTGGTGTGAATATTATTTTATTTAGTTTGTTATTTAGTTAGTGTTGTAACCTCAGCTAAGTATTTAGTATGCTAAGTGTGTGTATACTTACTTTGTTACCCTCACATTAATTTAGAGTGCAGCACTGACTCTTTAATAAAAATTTACAATTTGCTTTGTTGGAAACCATGAATTGTAGTGTTAGATGAATAATTTGCTCATGCACAATAGAATACATCAAAGTCTAAATAATGTTTCACTTTATTAATATATTAATTTTATTACTGATTTGATTTAAGGCTGTTGAGGAAAAAATGAGTATATTTTAAAACAGTTAAAATTATTTAATAATTTAAAAAAAAAGAAAACCCAAAACCTTTACCAGAATCACAGTTTTTGTATCACAGTTTTGATATACATTTAATCTCATGCTCAAATTTTATCCTCAAAATAACAGAGTTTTTTTTAATTTAGTGTCTGATTACAGTCTGTTTGGGAAAATCTGTTTTTTGAAAGAATCTATCTGCTTGGTCACAAGGGAAACTATTCTTGTGGTGGGTTAATTTCTTTTCTTAGCATTATGTTAGTTATATTCTTGCACCTTTTAAACTTACGAAGTTACTTAGACTATGTTCCCTCATATTTTTGAACTTTGAACTTTTTGTACTTCTTGGGAAGTGAAGCACTCTTAACACATCTAATGTGTGGTTTACACACTTTGTGTTTCATAAGATGGTCAGGATTTAAGTCACAAATGCCAACAATCAACCAAAATGTTCACCAATTTTCAAAATATAAAATACCCAAGGAGGGGTTGGGTATAACTCAGTGGTAGAGTGCATGCTTAGCATGCACAAGGTCCTGGGTTCAATCCCCAGTACCTCCACTAAAATAAAAATAAAAAAATAAAATCCCAAGAAGTAGCAGTAACAGGCTCTGTTTATATAAGCAGCTCTTATGATAGATATTTTTAAGTTAGGTACTTTTTTCCCAACTTGATAGGATGATCTTGGGGAGGATGCAAAATATTTGGATTATTTAATTTCTTAACAATATGGTAGAATTGATATAAATTTAGATGAATATTTTCATAATGATTTAGAATGCTGAATAGTGGTGGAGAAATAGCCTTAGTGAGATGAACTTAGTTTTGACATTTATTTTATTTCTTGGCAGGCCACTTTGTTTATATATATCATCTGTATAATAACAAGAGTAGTGATAAAAGCTACCACTTCTTGAGCATACACTGGGTGTCAAGCATTTAATCCTCTAATTTATTATTCACCCTGTGAGGTAGGCTCTGATAGCTTCAGTTTATAAATCCTGAAACTGAGTCTCAGGCCCTTGGGTCCACAGTCCTCTATTGAAGTGTTGTAATTACATCAGCCATTTACTTACTGGAATTAACTAGTAGTAAATGAAATTTGGCATTATTTATTACCATGAACAAGACAGTAGCTAAAAGCATCAAATTGGTCTTTTAGATAGTTGGAAATTAATATGCTTTAAAAAAGTAGAATGTTAGGAAATAAAATTTTAATCAAAATCTTTGTTAGTTCTATTAGATGCTTTCTTGTTGGATTGTGGAGGAGTTCCTCCTTGTGGTGGGTGGTGCTATTCATTAGTGATTCTAGTTATTTGAATTTCTGTTCATTATTTATGGCTCTGCCTTAGGGGTCGACAAACTATGGCCTGGGAAACAAATCCGTCCTGCCATCTGTTTTAGTAAATAAGGTTTCATTGGAACACACACTTAACTTGTTTATGGATGACCTACAACACCAATATAGTCACTGTCTGGCCCTACAGAGAAAAAACTGCTGACCCCTGCTCCACCTCATTCAGTAAAAGATTTGAAGCAACTGACTGTAGTATCTAATCCTAAAGATATATGGGACTTCCTTTTAAACTTTCTATATAATTTATCTTCTTTATGAGAAAAGGTTGAGGAAGTTTATTTTTCTTCTAAGTTCAAAAGTGATTAGGTTAAAGTAATGTTCTGTTTACTCAGGTACATTCCACTAATTTGAGAATCTGCTCACTGGTATACCTAAGACCTGGTTGTTATGTGTAAAGATTGTTCCGAATGGTTGAATATGTTTTGAGATAATTTCTTTCTTCCTTTGATAAATGGAAGAAATGTTTTTTCTGCCCCATTAAAAGGATAACAAAGAGGATACAAGAAAGGTTCTGTTTTAATTTACAGAGAAATAAAATTCGGTCATACGTGAGTTTTTGTTTACCTTCCCTGCCCAGGAGGAGCCATTGCTTATCATGTTTCCAATTAGATGGTTATCTGATCCCTTTAAAAGTAATGTCTGTCCATTCCCTCTGTTGAAGCAAGTTGAGTCCCCTTGACGCACTCAAGTTTCACAAGCCTTGGGATCTTGAGTCTACTTTTTACTCTAGGTTTCATAATTGATACTAAGAGCCTTTCCCCATGTCACATACATGACTGTAATGAAGGTGTTAGAGTAACTTTTATAGAAATAGCAGAAGAGTATCCTGAGACTAATTATGCAGTGCTAAGTTTTTCGCTCTGATACTGCTTCCAAAAGAGATTTTGTTTTGGTAAACATGTATGTGAAAGTTTTTCCCTTTCCTATTTGCTGACTATACTAAACAAATCAAACATTAACTGGTTTTTGTTATGTGGCAGGGAGTACCACCATGATGTAGCATTTTCTTGTAAACTGGGTGTCATTTCAGTAGTACACTTAATGTTCCAACAAGCTTTAATGGTTTGTATTTCTAGTTGATGTTTGAGCTAAATTGAAAATATTTTACATGTGTCTGAAATAAAGTTAGAAAAGTGGGAATGAATGTTATTATAGGTTGCATATGTAGAATAAACCTAGTAGTACCCCAAAAATGTAAGTTAATCTAAATCCAGCAAATTTTAATAAATAAAAATACTCCAGAATGCCAGTGTTCTTAGTGAAAATACTCTAGGGAATATGCAGGCTTTGCTTGGAGGAAAGGCAGTGTTCTATTAAAAAAATATATATATATATATATATATATACACACACACACACACATACATACACACACACCATAGAAGAATAGAGAAATGGAATTTCTAAAAGATAACACAAATCATCAGAGTAATAAATGAGCTGTTGAATTTTTTAGTAAAAATGCAGACATTCTTTCTTTCTTTAGTTTGTTCTGTTAGCAGCAGAGATATTTCTAAAAGGCTTTCAAAATTCAAGTGTTTATGTCCAGGTTCTGTCCAACTATGATAGCATAGCACTTTTTGCAGGCAACCAATCTTACAGTTCTAAATATAGTATGTGAGTGGTAGTAAGAAAAAATCCTACTGTGGTGGGAAGACTATGAATACTGCCTTTTTTTTAGTTTTGTTTTTGCTTTGGGCGGATTATTCAAACTTTGAGATTGCTTTTTCACTGTAAATTGGGGTAGTAATTTCTTCTTTGTAGAATTCTGTAATAGATTAGGTAAGACAATGTTTTTAAAATGCCAGGCATGATGCTTGGTGTGTAACTACATTTATATATCACCATAATTATTTAAAGCTGTTCTATGAGTAGTTATACTCCTTTCATTTAGTGTTTCCTGTATCTTACTGGTAGTCCCCCCACTTCATAGTAGTGGACAGGGTGGGGGTGTATAAATGTGTGTATAATGATAAAGGTATGACATTACTAAAATTACAAAAATGAAAATAAACTTTTGGGCGGTGTTTTGATGCAGACAGCTTTACTAAACCGCCTGGAGCGAATTTTCGAAGCATGTTTCCCTTCCATATTTGTCCCTGATACTGAAGAAGAAGTTATTTCCCTGAAGCACTTGCTGGAAACAAGCACCTTGCCAATAAAAACAAGAGAGGCCTTAGCTGAGAGTGGGTAAGTAGTAGATACTTTCCAGATAGCATTATATTTGTTAGTTTCATCTGTTCTAATTTGTAAGGTTATCTATGGTTATCTTAAACCATTAAGGTTCTAAAACATTATGTTAAAGTTTAAAAAATCATATTGTGCTAAAAGACATGATTTAAAAAAACTCTCTACTTCTCCATTTTTGAGCTTTTAAAAAAATTATAAATCAGTTCAAATCAGTCAATTTTATATATATTTTTTGATTTCCCAGTAGGACCGATGAGAGTGTAGATCTTACATCTGCTATTCATTCTCTTCCCTTCATCTTCCCAGTACACTTACATCATAGTTTTTGGTTAAATTGTTGCTTGGTTTTTCGTTACTATAATCATGCAGTGTTCACAGCTAAGCCACTATTTTCTTTATAGTACACCTTTTTCCTGAACGTAATAATTGCCTCTCTTTTTTCATTTACTAAATCTTTCCCTACCCTCCAACAGCCTGTTAAGATAAGTTTACTTGTGATAAAACCTATCAAGCTGGCCATTCCTTTTTTTTTCCCTGGAGTCCTCCATCTTCCAGTTTCAGTCTAGAATGGATCAGTCTAGGTCTTCTAAACACATGTTACCTTGGGATTTCCCATCACTTAAATCCCATTTTGGTGGAGCACATCCTCTAATACCCTCCTGAGAAAAAAGGGTACACAGGAGGTAAAATTTTATTTTACTCTATCCTCACATCATATTTATAATTAAGGGTCTTTTGTTGCTGGTGCTCTGAAATTTCACAATGAAGTATCTTGATAAGAGTATTTTTTCATTCATTGGACTGAGTACTAGGTAGGACCTTTCAATCTGGAAGCTTCTCTTCAATATTGAGCAATTCTCTTATAAAGACAATTACCTTCCCTCCATTGTCTTTGTTTTCTTTCTGGAACTCTTATTAATTATTAGATGTCAGAGGGTCTAGATTGACTTTCTAATTTTAATTTCAAAGTTACTCTTATTCCTGGACTTGTCTCTTGTATTTCATTACTTGCCACCCCTAGAGGGAGTATTTCTTAATTTCATTGAAAATGGAGATGATTTTTGTTTCTTGGCTTTTGTTTTGGGGTAATTTCTGAGAATGGAAGGGGACAAAAAGGTTGATATTTTGCCATCTTTAAACTGTTTAGATATATATTTTTAAGTATGCTAGTTGTACAGATAGTTCATCTCTTAGACCCAGGAATCTCTCCAAGAGATTCTCCATTCTAAGGAAACAACACAATTCTACAATAACACACACCATAAAATACAGGAAGATATTTTTGTCTTACTAGGAGTAGGAACCAAACAGTAAAAAACAACTGAATTAAAGCTGTAGGATTGTGGCTAAAGGAATGGTGATGCATCTGTCTAAAAGAACCTTACACAACCACTGAAAAAAATACATATATAGGTGAGGAAATGCTTAAAATCTGAAAAAAGAATACAAAATTATATATATGCTGTAATTACAAATGTGTGTTTGTGGATCAAGACCCAAGGAGAAAACAAATATTAAATAGGTCTAGTAAGATGGTGGAGTGTTGGGTGATTTCTTTCCTCCTTTTAAATATTTTTGTTTTACAATTAAAAAAGAATAACAAATAAACTTTTGCTCGATTGTTTCATATTTAAACTTAATTACTTTTCTAATGACTGTAAGTGTTGGTTCTTGATTTCATTCAGATAGTTGTTATATGCTCATGTTAGACACAAGATTAATCAGAATGTATAGTATTTCAGAGTCACATTAAAAGTAGGATTCATGGTGAAAGGTATTGAGTAACCCATTGTTGGTGGCTTCGTCGTGACCTTTGCAGGGAACTGCTGGATGTGTGGACTGAGCTACAGGATATCCATGATGCCCATGGTTTGAGATATCAGTGGGGCGGCTCCTATAGCAACAAGAAGCTTTTGTGCTCCTTAGGAATAGACACTCGAAACATTGTGAGTTTATTAGTACCTTGGAAAATCCTTTAATCAACCTATGCTTGTTTTTAAATTCTGTCACACTTCTGTTTAAACTGTGCTAAACTAGTTCCTCAGAAAGATAAATATTAGTTGGTTTAAATGGTCGTGTATTTTGAATATGTCAACTTTTAAGCATAAATCTATCTAGATTTTTCACTATTTCTTATTTTTAGAAGAAGTAAAGTTTTTCCTTAACTATAAAATGAATGAATTGGACTAGGAGATCAAAAATACAATCCCATATGGGCAATTTAATAACTTCTTCGGTGTATCATTCACAATATATGTAATAAAGCATTACGTATTTTGGAAACTGTTTCATTGTATGACAGATCATTCTCTAAATACATGTTATTTCTCTCTAATGTGTGTAGCTCTTCACGGGCAATAAGAAGCAGCCTGTTATAGTGCCCATGTATGCAGCAGGACTGGTAAGTACAAGGATGTCTTCACATTTATGTATCATTGCTGCATTTATTCTGTAAATTCATCTTAAATAGCATGAGATGGAAAGGGTATTTTAAGAGGCATTTAGTGTGGTGGGAACGTTAAGAGAATAAATACGGTATCCTTTTTGATCTCATAAATCCCTTTAAGTCTTGATCTGAGGACAGTTTTCTGTATTCTATTAATTACACTTTTGTTTTAGATTGAAAATTATTTTTATCTTAGTAGTATTAGTGTTCATACTTTTTGTAAGTGCACCTTTGGAAATCTCTCTGTCTCCCTCTCCCTCTTTAATTTGCTTTTAAAAAGAAGAAGCTGAAGTATCTGAAGTATTAAACGTGTTGAATTTTGTTTTTTCAGATATGCCAGGTAGTCCAGGATAACTGAGGAATTTTCATTCTGTACCTTATCAAGACTCAGTCACATTTTATAGTTTGATGTGTTTGTGTTTTTTGGCATGTCTGAGTTATTGGTGAATAAAGATGTCCTGTCAAACAAATTATTTTTAAATTCTTTCACCAATAACTTGAAAATAAGGTAAAAATAACTGTTTAAGAAAGAGAAAAAAATAACTAAGGAACCCTTAGTATGGAATTTAAGTTTAAAAACCCTTTATGTGCATGTGAAAATGAATTTGCTGTGGAATTTGACCTTTTTTTAATCTGCAGACTTTACCATGCATAAGCTATAATTATTGAAATGTTTGCTTTGTTTTGTGGAATTGGACAAAAACTTCTGCGCTTGAGCTTTTCTCTTTATCAGTTTCTGCTCCTTTATGAATGATTATCTTGTATTTTCAAAACACGTTGATCATCCCTACACTCTAATGTTGTAGATAAACACAATTCAGAACATTTCTTTAACTTTCTGGTTATTTCGATCTCTTTTCTCAAGGAGTAGCATTCTGGGATTGCTGGTGGTGGTATTGTCACATTCTGAGTAGGAAGTAGGAATTTAGTTTGTGGGCACTGTCGTTCAGCACTTTAGGGACTACTTAGGGACTACTTTATGCTATGTGTTATGCTAGGCTCAGCACATTAGCCAGTTCTTTAAGTTTTGAAGGATTAGAGACTAATATTTATGCTTTGTTTTCTTATCTGAATTACAGTCTTTTATTAGTAATAATTTTATCATTTTTGTAAGCTTTTAATACCAAAATTGATTTAGCTAATTTATCATCTCCTCCATCTTTGTGATGCCTTACATTTAGAAACTTTTTTTTTATATCTGGTTTCAAATTTGAATTACACCTGAATTTTTCCCATGATGCTTTACACATATGAGATGTTCAGTATCTTTTGGTCTCATCTGGAGGAATAGTACCTGAAATGCTCAATTAAGTCACTGGTTCTCAAACTTTAGTGTGCATTAGAATTACTTGAAAGACTTGCCAGAATGCTGGGCACCACCGCCATAGTTTCTTATTCAGGTCTCGGGTGGGGCTCAAGAATTTGCACATTTGACAAGTTCCCAGGTGATAAAGAAGCACTGATTGGGGACCCCTTTGAGAACCACTGGTTTAAGAGATAGTTGACATTAGAAAAGTTGGCTAAGACTAGTAATCACTTGCCAAATGCATGGAGTCCTTGTAGAAGGGCACACTAGAAAGCCTGTAAAATGTATATAGTATTGAATTAGACCATGATTTACTTTCATTTTTTCAAGCTGATAGATTAAAGCCTTTCACATGTAAACAAAATCTGTAAATTGCTTAGTTTATGCTCGATTTTATGAGGATAGGAGGATGCTCCTGAAAACTTGTTTTTAGAAATGTATAAATTCTAACCTTACTGACTAGGCAGTTTTGATCCCTCCCCGCCCCAGTAAAGGAGGACTTTAATTTGGTTGATCAAGAGCTTGTCAAGTATTATTTTAAAATGTGTAAAACCTTGGGCCTTTTTTCAGGTCAGTAACCCGGGTTATTACCAGTTATTATTAGTGTTTGGTAGAGCATTGCTGCAATGCTGATTTTTTTTCTTCTTTGTTTCTACACCCATCTTGAATGCCTTCCTTTCGTACTCAAAAAGTGTGTTAGGTTTTCAACACACGTGGAAAGTATGGGATGTTTTCTCTCTGTAATGACTGCTCTGCCCATCCAGAGAACCAAGAACTGAGGCTCCCATCCTTTGCTGCAGCCAGGATCAAACACTGAATTCACAGTGAAACATACAGACGTCATCACACGTGGTGTGTTTTAGAATCAGCTCTCACTTCTCCAAGTCAGCACCATGGTGTAATGTGTACGAAGGGTGCCCTTTCCTGCGATTTCAGGTCTTAAATATCAGAATAGTGTTGGATTCTTAGGGCAAGAAAGTAATGTACTGTTGTGCTCACCTCTTCCCCATCTCCCTGACCCCTGACACCCCAGGAGCTTATGCTTTTTTGTGACAGTGAAAACCAGGCACTTTAAAACACATTCAATTTATTACATGGTCTTGTTTCAAAAAGTTTGGGTTCCAAAGGTGGTATTATGAAACATTTCCCATTATAGTGCTGTGAGAGTTTCACTAGACAAAAATTAAAACTAGTTCTTTTTTGTCTTCAGTACTTTCCAAATGACCTGTTTTCTTTCTGCTTTCTGCTAGATTAACTTTCCTGTAAAGTTTATGGGCTGATTCTCTCCCCCACCCTATTAATGGCTAATTTGCCTTTTTCAGGGTATGCTAGAGCCCACCAAGGAACCATTGAAACCACTATCTGCTGCAGAAAAAATAGCTTCCATCGGTCAGACAACCATCATGTCACCAGAAATGAACGCATGTGCATCTGACCACTTTCAGGTAAAAATATCTGGATGTGTATAGGTATGTTTGTGCATGTATGTGCACATATGTCCACACACGTTGTTTCCCTTAATACATGACTTTGTTTTTAAAAATTTTAAACTTAATTTCATGATGGATGTGATTTTGATTACATATTAACATCCCTTGAAGTACAATGAACAAATTCTCTCTAATTTAAAAAAAAAGACAGTTTGAGAACTGGCTGGTTGTGGGTAAGTCCTTTAAACCTATCCAGACCTTAATCTTTTTACCTATAAAAAGAACTGAGCATCTCTAAAAATTCCTTACATCTTGAACATTGTATGATCATTATTACTGACACACAGATCTGGTAGGTGATAGATTTTCCCAAAAAAATGGAAAACACTGCATTTATGCCAGCTCTTCAAGTCTGCAACTTGCAAACTTTTGCAACCTGCAAAAATTTTATAAAGTAATAAAATTTAGGTGTGTTTATTACATCAAAAACTTTTGAGAGTTTGAATTAAACTGTTACTTAAGTTGAAAATAATGTAGTCTTTAAAAAAACATTCTATGGATTAGGAAAAAAAGAAAGCTTTCTTGTCTTTTTTATCCTTTTTTCTTTTCCCCCTACCTTTTTAGCCTTTACCTTCTTAGCACATTCAAGCACAAGTCATATTTCAGTCAAGTATGTTTAATATCAAAGCCTTCCCTCTCACTTTTTATCTGGGGAAACAGCCATTTTGGTTTGCTTACTTTTTTGACATCAGATTAGAAACTGACTCAGTCAGTGCTGGTTAAATATTGTTTTTTAAAGGTTAATATTCTTAATGAACATTACCATTTCTAAAACATATTCTTTGTCATCTCTTAACCCTAAAGTATCATCTTCAGTTACGTCTAACACAAAAAATGTGTGTTTGGACAGCCATTCCCAAAATGTGTGTTCCATTGAATACTAATACCCAGAATGCTGCACTAAAGAAGGGTTCCATAGTGAAGTTTAGGAAATATTTTATATCATGTCTTACAACCACCCTTGGAGGTTTGCAACACACACATTAAGGACTCTGAAGAATCATTAATGCATTTCTCAATTTTTAAAAAAAATTTTATTTATTTGTTTGCTTAATTGAAGGTGTCAGTCTCTGGTGTACAGCACAGTGTCCCAGTCATGCATATACATACATATATTCATTTTCATATTCTTTCCATTAAAGGTTATTACAAGCTATTGAACATAGTTCGCTGTGCTATGCAGCAGAAATCTTTTGTAAATTATTTTTATATATAGTGGTGAACATTTGTGAATCTCAGACTCCCAGATTTATCCCTTCCCACCCTCTTTCCCCAGTAACCATAAGATTGTTTACTAAGTCTGTGCTCAGTCAGCATTCTTATTCCTACAGTGCTAGGCTTTAGGAAAGTAATTTGAGTAACTGCCTCGTACATTTTCTGGAAGTGGAGCTGTTCTTTTTTGAGGCCACTTGTTGCTACTTTACTTGCTGCCTTCTCTTCTTCAGCCACTTCCGCGTGGGATAGCCCCATAAGCTGTTGCTTATTTTTTCAGAGTTAGCTGTCACCTGTCATCTTGCCCCTAGCTGGTTTGATCTACCTTAAGTATTTCATTCCAGTCGTACCTCATACATATCATCTTTCTTATATAACTTAGAGATGTGATTAAAAGTAGTCTAGATGACCTAATAAAAAAAAGCATGTGTGTTAATTTAATGAAGGTTAGTTGCAGCTCCCTATGTATTTAGCTGCTGCCATCTCTATACATACACACCCCTGTCTACTTATAATCAAAGGATTGTCTTCCAGTTTCTATACAGGCAAGTATAGAAATTTTTGGCAACATTTATGCATATCAAACTTTTTTGCTAGGAGATGGAACTTGGTCTCTTGCTTCTTATATTTTTTTAAAGTTCTTTTAAATGAAATACTTCTTTTTTCTATTTCGTGCACACGTTTCTCTTTTTAAAAAATATACATAAATATTGAATTAACAAGTTTATTCTGTACTTTGTTTTATGGTAGTTTGTGATCCTCATTGCCTTTAGTTTTTAGGCTTCTGTGGAACCAGTGAAAACAGTATTTCCCAATGGAAATTGTTCAGACTTATTTCTGAATTGATTTGAGCCTCTGTAGGTAACATACACACACACTTAAATGAAGATTTTTAGCATGCATACCAGAATTTTGTGCGGGATGTCTGACCTCCATCACTAAATTGCATGATCTTTGCTTGGTGTCATACTTCTGATTCAGGTTAAAATACTTAACACATACCTGAAATGCAGTGTAAAAAGTCTGTATAAAGTGATTTTGTTTATCACTATTCTTTGGCATGCAACTTATGTGTATATTTTTTAGCTTAACATTTTGGCCATGCAGAGATACTGTTACATCTTCCTACTAGTGATAATTTTCAGATGAAACAGCCATAGCAGTTAGTGCTAGAAGCTTATTAGCAAAATGTGTCAGGAAAGAGCTGTTCAATACCTGATCTGTTACCCCAGAAAACGTATAGCAAACCTCCCTTTTATGTTCTTGGTTTTGGCATTGCTGTATAGTGACTTTCAGACTTAGCATAGTTGTATAATTCTCATATGACTGCATGCTTTTTGATCTGTCTTTTCTATCTCAATTTGGTAGCCATTGAGTTTTTCTCTTCTTGCAAATCGGTTTGTACTCATTAGTCTTGTTGCCATTGCATCTCTTGTTTAGGAAATTTATATTTTACTAACAATTTTTTTTTAAAAAATACTTTTACCTGAAAAAACAGCTTACAGGTAAAAAGCAGTAGTGATTTTTTGTTGTTGTTATTTTTAAAATCTTTATCCACTGAATATCAAGGTCACACCATTCATGGTGCCATTACTGATTCCCCCCTTGGTAAGATCAGTACTTTAACCATACTTTATTTCACTGCTGAATAGAGTCAACTCTGGCTACCAGTTATCCAACCAATCACCACTAGCAAACTTCTTCTCTTAGGCTACTTTGTCACTATTACTGTTGTGAATCAGAATTTTAGAATTAGAAGGGAAAAAAAAATGACTATCTAGCACTATTCTCTTTTACAATTAGAAAACACATTTGGAAAGACAAAATGATTTACCCGAAATCACACATTGGTGCTACGGCTAGGACTAGAACCAAAGTCTCCTGTTTGTAGTCTCCCCACCCCACTGCCATCTTTTTATTATGACCTTGTCTCCTTTCTTTTGTCTCTGCAGTAATCATCCATACCACATTGTTTCAAGTTGCTTTAAAATGTTTCATTCCAAAGCTTTCTCTTTGAGTTGCCTACTTATCATTACCATTAGCTAGTCTGTAATTACTTAGGTATCTGTTTTTCATCTCTCTCATTTCCACTAAATTTTGATGCATGATTTAGCACCTTATTATTGTAACATTGACTGTGCCTTCAAATGCCATACACCTGTATGAGAAGCTAAAATTTCAGAAAATAACTGAAATATTTCAAAACATCCAGCTACTTCACATCATTTAGATAAAACATGTTAATGAAAGGGCTTTGCTCCATATGCCCAGGAATTTTGTTATTGCATAAATCTGGGTTTTGTCCATCCAGCCAGTGCTTAATAGTTCTAAAGGTGTCCCTGATCTAGAAATAGAATAATGGAAGATGAATCTGTTGGAATGCCTAGAGCTTTTTGTTTGTGTTTGAGAGCAGCTAAAGATGATCTTTTCTAAATGTTATTTATCAGTCTGGCAGGTGGGTTATAAACCAGATTTTCACCAGCATTTTTAAAAATTTTATTTGAAATATTTATAGATATACTAGAATTTGCAAAGGTAGTATGGAAGAAGTGCCTGTACTTTCACCAGTTTCTCCCATGATTACATCTTACATAATTATAGTACAGTATCAAAACCAGGAATATGTCATTTGTACAATGTGTGTGTGTAGTTCTGTCATTTTATCATGTGGATAGATTGATATGACCACCACCGTGATCAAGACACGGAACTCTTCCACCACCACAAACAAGCCCCTTAAAGTATTCCCCCAACCTGCTACCTGCTCCAACTCCCACAACTCTTAACCCCTGGCAACCACTAATGTTAGCTTACTATTTTGTTTATACCTCCCCCTCAACCTCCAGGCCTGACCTAATATGGAGAAGACTAAATGCTTATAGCACATGCCTATCATTGGTTATCAAGACAATTATAACATCGTGGGATTAGACTTTCAAAAATAGCTAGTTCATGTTCCTTTCGTACAGGCAACAATGTCTGTCTACAGAGAAAAAAATGATTATAAAATTTTAACAAGAGCCTATACCTTACAATAAAGCAGGGTGGTGAGCAATACAGGGGAAAAAAAAAAGATACATTGATACTGAGTCTAACAAATAATAAAACACAGGTTATTTCAATAAGTGCTGCCAACACCACCCCCAAAATAAAAGAAAATTTTTTAAAAACTAATTTTTTGTCAAGAATATTCTTAAAGCAATGATCTTTTTAAAAATATTTTGTACTACCTTCCATCTTATATGTACCATTCGCGCATTTCATCTTTATGTGTTTGGCAGTTAACAGAATTTTAAAACTTAGAATATTCAAATGAGTTCTGAGTGTACTTTTCAATACATTATTTTAAAAATTAAATTCTTATACTAATTTCTAAATTAGAGAAGATGATTAAATTTTTTTGAATGTTTATATATATGGAAATTAATTAAATTAACCATACATAGCTATATATATACTGGTTATTTAATAGTCTTTAATAACCCACTTGCCTCATTTTCTGTATGGTACCTTTTCTATTGCATTATATTATCTATTAAGAAATTTTAAGTGGCTAGTCATTTAAAATAGATACTCTTTAGTGAAAAAAAGTGATTTTTTAAAATATTTTCATTGTAATCAAACCAATAGTTAAAATCATGGTATGAGAGTAGACTGAAATCTTGAGATAGAATCGGTCCATAAATTTGTTTGAAAATGTAAAGATAATTCCATTTCTCAGATACAGCTATTTTAATGTCAGCAAGCTATACTGTTTGTAAATTTTGCAATTTCAGTTTGTGTTAGTATTTGTAGATAACCTTCTGAAATTATAAATTATCCCAGTTTTTTCTTTAGATAGTTCATTGCCTAATGATTGTGCCATAATAGTGGCTTTTTGTTTTTGTTTTTTAAGGATTCTTTATATTGTTACAACCTATACTGATTAATTTTGATTTTTTGGTTTTCAACTCTAGGAGTCTCTACCACCCGTCCAGTTTGACTGGAGTAGCAGTGGCCTTACTAACCCTTTAGATGGTACGTCTCTCCGTAGAGCCTCTAGCACCAGAGCTAGAGTTAAGAAAGCTACAAAGTTCAGACAGACTTCTCTCTGCTGATTTCCTTTTTTGTTTGAACATAACTTCTTATTCTTATTCTTTGGAAATTCAGGCTTTCTTTCTGAATAGTAATTGCTCAAGAAGCCAGCCATTACTATTATTAATAGTGTTAATATCCATATATAGGTAGTAGTAACCAGGTAAAATTTTAATTTCTTAATTCAAAAACAAGCTTATTTTTCACAAGTATCTAGGTAGTCTACATGATATTTTAGGTAGGACCAATTTACTTGAAATTTTTTTCTGTAATTTTAGTTTATGGAATTTTCTTGGATGCAAAGTGTTGTGTCTAGAGGCTGCTTTAAAGCACAAAGCACAATTATTTAACCAAAAACAACATGCAAATAGATCGATAGTTACTGACTCAAAGTAGTTTTCAGATTTAATAATATTTTATAGAGCACTTATATGCAAATGAAAAACAAATGATTTTAATGATCCTTTTCTAAAACTTACATCTCAAAATACTAAGTAAGTAGGTTCAGAAATTACTGGTTTCACTTATGGCTTTAAAAGAAAATCGTGAAGAAGGAAGAACTTTTTATTCCAGTAATGAGGGGGTCTTTAAAATAAATAACACAAAATTCCAGTTTTCCTGTGTGTTGACATGACAAGAATTAATTGGACTCTAAGGTACAATTACTCTTACTCCTTATACTTGGGTAAGTTGTTTGAGCCATTGTCTAAAACACCTGTCATTCTGTCAGCTTTGCCTTAGAGTGAGTGGGGGGATCCTAGGATATCTGGAAAGCATCCAATTGACTAACAGTGCTGAAGGAAAGCCTGGATGCACCTTTTGCTGTTGTCTGGTGTCTTATTCAGTCAAATCATCGTGCTTTTTATTAACAAACAACTTCTTTAAAATAAAAATGTATACTATTTCTGATTACTGTTTCAGAGTTAAAGGGGAACAGTACAGCTTGAGTTGCACATCAGGGTAGGGCAGTTATGACATTCCTTATTACGTTACTTTAAACTAAGTTAATGAATTGGTGTGTGTCCTGAAACTGACAACTTTGTCACTTTTAAAAAGCACTAATTAGAAACCAACACTACTAACATAAAAGGTTGATTTGGGCATGTATGGTGACTTAATGTTGGGTTGAGATTAAAGTATTGTTTCCCTTTAACGGGTACACGTTCCCCTTGGTCTTTCTGGTATGGCTTCGGTTTCGACTGAAAAAACGAGCTAACTAAAACCTTACCAAGTGTTAAATTATTTACATTGTACATGAGAAAATGTACATGGAATTAAATTGTTACTTTAGAAATGTCCTTAGCAATGAAAAACTAATACTGTACACATTGTTTTAATGTTGATTTTAAAATGTGTAATGACTACTAATTATAACCTGCATGTTCAAGTGTGTGTCTTACCCCTTTTTACACATAACCCCTCCTCCCTTGGCTTACCTTCTGTGTGGCTGCCTACCAACACGGTCACTGAATTTCAAGCTAGTGGAGGTTCCACTCTTCTGAACCTTGATTTCTTTGGGCCCGTGGATGACAGTAGCTCTAGCAGCAGCACCACAATCCCAGGTCAGCAGAGTGTTAAAACCACAATTCTAGTTTATTTACTAAAAGCATGACCACATCACTTGACTTTCCTATAAACAAGGAAACAAATAGACTGTATTCTCTATGATGTCTTTCTAATACTTTTCTTTCATCTGTCTGTTGTTATTTTCTAGTATCTGACTATGATAAATGACTTATGTGAAATGTATTTTAAGGAAAGCTTTGTCAAGCTGAAAATAGTTTCTAGATATAAAATAGCCCTAATGTCCTTACACATTTAAAGGTAGGGAGTTTTTTTTCCCTGTAAATGGAAAATGTGATATTTTGTATGCTTTTTTTTTAAAGCATATTCTGCAAAGCCATTTAAAAAAATAGAAATTTAGAGATATATGAATATTTTAGTACACAAAGATGACTTTACATTAGTGTCTGTGACAACAGAACCTCTGCAGATTCTAGCATTCAAATAATTGTTTATTCGTGCTGCTAAATGTACAATTAGGTTCCCACATGTTGGAGTCTAGCACTTAGTTACATAGTCCCACACAGAATTATTATTGGTTTTATGTAGCTCTTAAATAGAAAGTTTACTGTTAGTTTTCCATGGAGAAAAAAAAATGTTAAACGTAATAGTAGAAAATAATTGCTACGAGACACTAAAAGCAGTGCCTGTTAAATTAATGTTCAATGTTCAGCCCTGTGGAAGTTCAGTTCATGACCAAAGGAATAATGTACTTTGTCATTTTCTAACTGAATAAAAGATTAAAATGGCATTTTTATGTTTACATTTTATTTAATATTTTAATGAGTCCCTGTCATCCCAACTTGTGATCTGGTAGTCATGCCCACTGATCACCAGATGGCTGTTGGGGTGTTATATGGAGGCTAATACCCGGAATGCATAGTGAGGATCCCTCTCTGTCCCCACTAGGACCAGTTACACAGCCAGCCTGGTTCCTAAGAATTTGTTGGTTTTGTTCTGTTCATCTAGATAACCCTGCCACCCACTACCAGCAGTTTAGGAGCCATGATGGGAAATGGGGGAGACTGAGAGAGTCAGCTAAGGGTGAGCCTGGGACTTAGGATGCCCTTCTCCAAGATCTGGTTATAGAAATCTGATTCTGCTAAAAGGAAGTTCCAAGAGTATTTGGTGGAATGACTGGATTCCTCAAATTAAGTCCGTGGTTATCATTCTCATTGTTTCTAATATTTTGCAAGCACGTAAAAAGCCAATCTGTCTGGTTTTGACTTCAAAATGACATTTCACTATTTAAATTACTTCTGAATACATGTGAGCTATTGAATGACCTGGGTGAGCTAATTAGCTTTTAATACTTAATGCAGCAAGAAAAAAACCCAAAACTTGTATATCAGTTTCCTTATTACTATATTCCCAAGAATGAATTACCAGGCTCCTATTTTTAATTCGCTCTCAGCTTTGTTTTATCATGCACTGAATTATAATTTAAATGAGGTCACTATTTTTGGATGCCTAAAATCCTGGTTTAAATTTAATTTTTGAGTACGTTTCAAACTCAGTTAAAAAACATCCATAGTAGGAGCACAAATAATCTGACTATAAAGAAGTACAAAAATGACCTGATAACCAGGCTCTGTGCACATACACAGCTTCGAGAAGAGCGAGTGGTTTCAACTTAGAGCTGTTATGGAAGTGAAATTAGCATGGTCAAATGTGGTCATCATTACTTTGGAACCTTTTAAATATTTTCATTCCGTATTTTCATTAATATGCTCTAGCTTCTGTGTAAACTTGATTACTATAAATTTGCTTTGGCTTGTTTTATTGCTATTGGGTTTTGTTAAAACTTACCATCAAGCTACAGGTATCAACACTTTCCTGAGTGTTCCATTTCACCACTTGCTTGCACTTTTTCTGACTTGTTTCTGGGAAAGTCATTTTGTCTCAGCTTGCAGTTATTTAATTATTTTGTGTTTGAGACTCAGGAGGTTGGCGTAGAACTTGGTTGGCTAGCTTTAGTAATTAAACTATGCCTCATTAAGATTCTGTTTTTAAAAACTCTTCCATTTAAAAAGTTATTCTCTAGTTAATTAGTGTAGAATAAGTAGTTATCTTGTTTTTGAAAAATATAAAATACAGCCATAGTACTTTATTTTTTGGTGACAGTGGTTGTTTGGAGACTGGGGCGAGGTTGATTTGTTTTTTTGTGTTTTTTGTTTGTTTTTAAATATCCCACTTTACTGTTTGACAACCAAGTGGCTGGTATTTTACAAACTCAACTAAATTTTCACAAGCACTTTCCTGTTGCCAGTCAGAATGCAGTTGTTTATTCTGCATTATGCATTAGACAGCTTCTTAAATTTTGTGATTACCTGGAATCTAAACTTCCACAGTGGAGGAAGGAGTTGCTTTAGATTCATTTGGTCCCTTTACAGGCATCTATTAATTTTTTTACATTTTAATTGCAACTTTTATTCTTACTATAGGAATACAAAGATAGGGCCTTTTAAATTATATTTTTAAACTGTACTTACCGAAATATTAAGAACTTGGGAGAGTCAGCAAACATTTTCTATAGCCTTCCTCCCTTGTTGGACATGGTAACTGTGAAAGCTGCTTTTGCTTGTTTGATTTCTGTAAACATCTGAGATCTGTGTTTACATCTGCTTGTCATCTGCAAAGTTGGTTACCAGAAGGCAGTTCCTGATTTTTTTTCTTAACCTTGAAATATCCCAAAAGGAGGAAACTTGTTAATATCAATATGTACATTTATATGTAGTTTTGTCTGCTGACTTTTCAGGGCTTTTTTAGAAATAAGTAGAAATTGATGAAGCTATAAGACATTTTTCCTTACAATCTGCTTTTCTGTTATACCCTGAAACTGCTAGTTTGCTGAGACCAAAGAGTGTAGGATTTTAAAAATGTATCTGATTATTTTCCAAAGCTTAGCCTTGAGTTAAAGATATTAATTACTTGTTTTTTGTAGTCATTATATTTGCTATATATACATATATCAGTATTCAAGGGAAATTTAAAAATATGTACGTGTATTTTAATGAAGTCAGATGGGGAGGATTTTAATAGACTTTAACAGTAAATTTAATTCTCTTAACTCAGCTTCATTTTGAAATTCTCTAATAAGATATTTGAATTATTAGCCACTAGATTCAGCTATGAGACTACAGAAATATAATTAGCCCTTGAGATAATTTTCATTTTGTCCAAAAGTAGTGCTTTTACTCACTTTTTCTGAGAACATTTTACCCTCCCCACTTTTTAAAGAAAGAACAATGTGACAATTTTTCTTTAGTAATAATGTGATGCTTTGAGTAATATTTCATGTCCTCAGATAAGTCAGAATATATTTAAACTATAACTGAATCATTTACTGAGAGTTTATATTAACTTCCGAATTTTGGGGTATGGATGAAAATAATAGAGGAAAAATGGTCAGGGAGGTGAGGGAGAGGGAGGTTCAAAAATGGAGTTAATCAGTCAGTTTAAAATGAATGTGTCATATTGTATAACAAATGATGTGTATTCTATTGATAAAACATTGATAACTTTCATATCACAAACTAATTCAAAATGAAGGGAGTTTTCTATAGCAGATAGATTTTTTAGAAGTATTTGGCTGGTATCTGCTACATAAATGCTAGATTAAATAAGGCTATATTTAGATACCAGAGTGGAATTTTAAAGTATTTTCCTACTTCATAAAAATTCTGAAAACAGGAATTTCCAACTTAAAAAATAAATGCAATATTATAGTTTTCTAAAAATGTGTTACGCTTATAAAAGACTCAGATGTTTACAGAATAATTGCCTTTTGCATCTTGGATTGTGGCTAATTGAGTAACCCATTGCAGCTTGCCATCACTGACTATGATTTTATACTATAAGGTGTGGATCCAGAGTTGTATGAGTTAACAACTTCTAAGCTGGAAATCTCCACCTCAAGCCTCAAAGTGACTGATGCATTTGCGAGACTCATGTCCACAGTAGAGAAGACAAGCACATCTACCAGGTAAAAGCTAGTGTTCATTACACCCTAATTATGAATTCTGTGTTGAACAAAGCAGCCCAGATGGGAAAGCACATTAAGTTGGCAGTATTTCAATACATTGTATTAAAATTCACTTTGTATTCATAAAAACCGATAGATACTAATTCCATAAAATAGTATGAAATTATGTTTAATTATGAACTGTATTTGAGCAGAGCAGTTCCATGAGGGACTGGAAAGGACTGGCAGATATGGGTTTCTCTCTTTCCCTACCTTCTACACCCAACTTTGTAGAGAAGAATCTGATTAAAGCATTGAGGTCATAAAGCCATTGCAGAAACACTCCCTTTTCTTTCAAGACCACTGAGATGATCATCCTTGGGATCCCAGTTTCACTCTCCCAGTCACCTAGGCTAATTCTTTCACTTCTGGGCTAAGATAGATTAGGGGATGGCCTCTGATTCGGTCATGAGACACTGCTTGTTAGTTTTCTAGGAGCCCCTTCAGGGGCATGGCCTTTAGAAAAGCAGTTGTCTCAGATACAAGGAATGTCCTATGGGCTTTGTGTTTACGATTCAGGAAACCTGTAGTTTTACTAGTTAAGCACTGGAATAATCCATTGCTTCGACTTACTAGCCATAAGAATAAAGCAGTTCCTAATAAGAAGGTAATCATTATGAACCAGTAAATCCCTACCGCAGGAGCAAATACTGGTTGATTGGCATCCAGCTCTGCCGTCCCACATCCATGATTCATCAGCATTTTTTGAAAACTCACTTCTAGTTTTACTTCTGATTAATTTTTTGCGGGGGGCGTAATTAGGTTTACTGATTGATTGATTGAGGTACTAGGGATTGAACCCAAGACCTCGTGCGTGCTAAGCACTCTACCATTGAGCTGTACCCTCTCCCCTAGTCAGCATTTTAAAGTATTTACTTGATATTTGCCCTTCGGCAGAAACAGTATAGCTCTTTTCCTTGAATAATACATTCCACTCACATGTCAAATTCAGATTTACCTTTTAAATCAATTCTTCTATAGAAAAACATTCATTTAAAACAGACTTTTTTTTTTCCCTTTTCCATAATAAATGCTTACTTGTCTTTAAACTTTGGCTTGAATTATCATATTGCCTTTTAGAATGTATTGTGTGCTTAAATATCCATTCAACAGATCAAATGTTAATAATATACTTAATATTCATAATTATGAAAAGCCATTCTTATTCTATAATTATGTCTACCCATAACTTCTCCAGGAGTGGGTTTATAACCTGCACATTCTTGTTCATCCAGATCGCCCTGTGCTCATTGCCCCTCTTTCTCTGTAATACTGCTACCTGGCACGGTGAGAGCCTCCTGTTACGGTGAACCTGCTTGTAATCGACGCTAGTGTGGGTTTTTTGCTTGCTTTCTAATTTTTTCTCTTTCCAAATCATATTTTCAGATTAAAGTTCTTCTCATACAAATTTCTCATCCATTTATTCTGTATATGTTAACCAAAAGCTAACGACTTTAGGAAAAAACAAGAAGAAACTCTGATGCTTTCTATTGTTTGGGCTTTCCCCTGCTATTTTTAGGACAACCTTTTCTCAGGATAATCCTACTGTTCCCTCACCTTTTCCCCTCTGCAGTCTTACTGAAGTGTTCAAAGTCCCCCGATGAGAATGCATTCTTTGTGCCGTTAGGAGGAGCTCTAAGCCACATTGTTAACTTGCTTGCTCTCAGCTTTTCAACTCACTGTTGAAACACTGCACACTAGGGCACTTTTCCAGCTTCTTTTTAAGAAGTTATTTTCATTTTTCCTCTTATTCTGTACTATTATGGAATGAACTAAAACTATAGTAATGTATCCTAGAATCAGCGTTGTAACTGCATTGAATTAGTCTCTAGTACCTGTCTGTCTAGCTTCATATTTAAAACACAACAGATTGAAATAAGTTGCCACCTTTGTATTTTGAGGGATTAACTATTTGAAAATGGTGAGAAGTGCAAATATTGCCAAGTCTTACACTTAGAAGGTAATACTGTAAAATGCCCCCATGAGTGATTCTTAGTTGTACAGGGAAGAGAGAAGGGGTTGGCATCGTTTCAGAAAGAATTTTAAGTATCTTTGTTGTTTTTAGGTTTTATTTCATTTATCTTTTTGCTTTTGAATAAAATAAACATAGAATGTTAACCTCAGCAAGATCTGATTGGCTCTTGATAATACACAAAAGACAGAGTGAAAAAGCACTGAAGAACTGTAGAGTAAGAAAAGGTCAAGGAACAGCAGTCTGAGGGGAGGCTGTAGCTCGAGTGGCAGAGCACACCCTCAGCGCACACAAGGTCCTGGGTCCCTGGTACCGCCTCTAAAAATAAATAAGTAAGCCTAAGTACCCCAAAAACATTTTTAATTTAAAAAAATTTTTTTAATTTAAAAATTTTTTTAAATAAAAAAATAAACAGCTGTCTAGATAGAGGAAATTTGACATGTAGCAAACAACATCTTACACTCTTCTCCAAATTGCGTATGTAAGAGAGTACATGTGCTCGCTTTCTAAACGTATGTTGTAAAGTGGTTTACTTTTTAAAGAAATGCAAGTTCTTAGCTTTTAAATAGTTTCATCTTCTTGCTTAGCTTTTCTAATATAGAAAAAAATTACTTCCTAATCTTAATTATTGGGTGGCCAACTAGTTACTAAGTAGCCACAGACCTATAACTGAAGTTCATACAAGCCAGAGGACTACTTGCCAAAAGGGATAATATGTCTTTTACTTTTTTCCCCTTTTTTGGGGGGGAGGACAGGTGGGGAATTAGCTTTTTTTACTTTTTTTAATTACCTTTTAATTGAGATATAATTCACATACCATAAAATTCACCCCTCTCAAGTGTATAGTTCAGGAGCTTTTAGTATATTCACAAGGCTGTGCAGCCATCACCACTATTTAATTATCAGAACACTTAATTATCCCAGAAAGAAACCCCAAACCCACTAGCAGTCACTCCCTGTATGCCACTCTTCTCAGTCCCTGGCAACTACTGATCTTCCTTCTATGGATCTGCATACTCTGGTTATTTCATACTAGTGGAGTGATACATCATGCAGCTTTTTGTGTCTGGCTTCTCTCACTTAGCTTATTGTTTTCAAGTTCAGCCATGTTGTTGCACGTATTAGTCACTTCCATTCCTTTTTATAGTTACATAATACTCCATCGTATAGCTATAGCACATTTTGCTTATTCATTAATCAATTAATGGACAATTTGGGTTGTTTTCACTTTTTGACTATTATGAGTAATGCTGCTATGAACATTCATGTACAAGTTTTTGTGTGGACAAATGTTTTCAATTTTCTTGGGAGTAGAGCTGCCGGGGCATATGGTAGCACTATGTTTAATTTTTTGAGTAACTTCCAAACTGTTTTCCAAAGCAGTGGCACCATTTTACATCCTCACCAATAATGTTTGAGTGTTCCATTGTCTCCACATTTTCACCAAGGCTTGTTGCTGTCTGACTTTTTGGTTACAGCCATCCCAATGGGTATGAAGTGGTATCTCATTGTTATTTTACATTTCCCTGATGGCTAATGATATTAAACATCTTCTTAGGTGCTTATTGACCAGTTGTATCTCGTCTTTAAAGAAATGTCTATTCACATTTTACGTGTTTTCTAATTGGGTAATTTTTATTGTTGTAAGAATTCTTTACATTTATCAGATATTTAATTTGCAAATATTTTTATCTCATTCTGTAGGTTTTTTCACTTCCTAGCTAGTGTACTATGAAACATAAAAGTTTCTTAATTTTGATGAAATCCAATTTATATATTTCTCTCATTGCTTGTGCCTTAGGTATCATATCTAAGAAACTATAGCCTACTTCAAGGTTAGGATAATTTGCACCGAAGTTTCCTTCTACGAGTTTTATAGTTTCAACTCATACATTTAGACCTTTGAACCATTTTGAATCAATTTTTTAATATGGTGTAAAGTAGGGGTCCAGGGTCCAACTTGGTTCTCTTGCGGGTGGATACCCAGTTGCAACAGTACTGGTTGTTGAAAAGACTGTTCTTTCCCCATTTCCCTCTTGTTGAAAATCAATTTAACCAGAAATTATGGGCTTATTTCTGGACTCTTTAATAGTATTATATTGGCCAAAGGATAAACCTTAACTAGAGAGAATATAAATCAAAAGTAAGTCACTGCCTTTGGCTTTGAGGAAAGATCTACTTTTAACCTGGCATATCTACCCCACTTCTGTTTGCTTTCCAGTTTACTAACACTAGCTTGCTGAAAAAAATTGATCCAGTTGTCCTGCAGAATGTCCCAACCTCTGGATTTGTCCATTTGCTTCCTTCAAGTAGTTTTTAATATGTTTCTCTATTCCCCTCATTTTCTGTAAACTGGACATTATATCTAAAGGTTTGATGGATAAAACACTTTGGGTAGAATACGTCATAGGTGTTGTATCGCATCAGGAGACACATGAATGTCTGGTTGACTCCATCGTGACAGACGCTGAGATTGACCATTGGTGGGAGGCTGCCCTTTCCCGTGTACTCTTCCTCTTTTTCACTTTGAGGCTGAAAAGTGAACTGTCTGGTTTTACTTTAGAATAATGTAGATACTCAGTTTGCCATTAAACATCCACCTAATAGTTTTGCCACCACTTAATTAAACATGTAGATTTTAAGTCAGAAAAACTTTGGAGTGCTATTCCATTCTTCTGAGAAACCCTAAAACTGAGTTCAGTATTGGCTGATCCACTGATGGTTTCTGTGTGCCTGAAGCTGAGCCCCTTACTGAAAATCTTTGGTCCTAAAAATCTGATGTTTGATTTTTCAGTCATTCTGTAAAATCTTTCTATTTCAGCCTGAACTCGTAACAGAAAAGTCCAGGTATAACAGCAAGGCCTACATCTATCTTTCCTTTCTTGCTTCACCTCCTGACTTCCTGCTCCCCATCCCCAGGACAAAGGAAATACTTAGGTGGAAGAAATAAGTTGTGTCACACCTAGCAGAGTACCGACTATCCTTTGCCGTAAGAGACAATTGGGCCTTTTGGAGTGAACAATGTTTAATAAACTTTGGTGTAAAATTATATCTTTATGACTGCAGTTATTCTTTCAGTATATTTAACATCCTGGAAAAACTAAAGGTTGGATTATAGTCAGGCGCTCAATTTGAGCCACATCTGAAGCTCAGTTGGCATTTGCTGCGGCTCACCTGCTGGGAAGACCCAGGTCACCAGGAGCGGGGCTACACGCTGCTCACTTCTTATATTAGGGGCACTTCATCCACAGGACCCATAGGGTTGAGATTTCCTCTCTCCCGAGCCCTTTCCGCCCGTGTACAGCCTCGTCTTCGGCAGCTGGCCCTCGTGCTGCGGCTTTTGGACCTGCCGCGGGTCTGCATCCCGGGGGGGGCAGAGGCTGGGTGTTTCTGAACTGAGGGCTTTCTGTCCCGGAATTCCCCTTTGGGGATGAAGAAAAGCCTGAGGTCAAAATGACTTACCAAGTCTTGTGCCAGACATACTTTGCTTTATGTTGAGGTAACTTTGGTAGTTTTTCAGGAGGCGGGGGAAATCCAGCGGGCGGGGTGTTACTAGGACTTCAGCATTATATTTCTTAGTGACATTTGAAGAGTATGCCTGGATAGATAGATGCTTTCTACCCTTAAGCAGAGCTGTGAGCTGTACACAGGTACACACGAATGTGTGTGTACACGCCCAACTATAATGAAGATACATAAATCCAGCGGGAATCTTCCTAAGAGACTTGGCCTCCGGCACAGGTGGCACCCAGCACAAAGGTTTCCCGAGGTTCAGGAACTGGCAGAGGAAAAGACAGTCCCCACAGATCGCTGTCTACCTTGAGAGTCTATTTTCTCCCATTTAACCTACAGCAAAACCACTTTAACACACTTCTCTTTTTTCTTTTGTCAACAGAAAACCGAAAAGAGAAGAGCACCTAAGCGAAGAAGCCATCAAGGTGATCGCCAGCCTCCCTGACTTAACGTTCATGCACGCCAAGGTGCTGATGTTCCCGGCCACCTTGACGCCTTCCACAGGCTCCCAGGAGAAGGCAGACTGATAACTGATGTGGATCGGACAGTTTCAATTGCTTTTCCTTCCCTCCAGCCCTTCCCTACAGTCAAAAGCATATTTGCTCTAATTAAAAAAACAAACAAACCCAGTTCAGCTGATTTGTTGGTAAGCCACACTAGAAAGGTATACATAGTAATGTATATTTATTTACATACTGAAGTCCTAAATTTATATTAGAAAAAATGTAAATAATCGGGGGTGAACATTTTTGAAGAATTATTCTTTTTGTGTTGCTGGGGTGTATACATTTATGTCTTTGTGAAATACACTGGTGGTGTCCTTCTTACAAAACTTTTGAAATAAAAAAAAGAAAATTAAAAACTCAAATCTCCACTGTCTGTGAAATCCCCTTCAGTCTTTTCAGATTGCATTGAATGTCCTATTAATTTTTCATATCATATGTTGAATTACTTTTGCTATCATTAAGTAAACTCCAAGTCCCCGTTTAATTTTTTTTTTAATTTTATGTGTGGTGGGTTTGTTTCAGATCTAGCTTTTGTTACCATTTTTGTGCTTTTTAATCTTTTCAATCTGACCTATTGCTGTTTGACCTTTTGTAAGGTACTTCATCAATTGCTCTTTTGTTATAGGGTATGGATCATTGTCAGAACTCAATTGGAGGGATTTAAAGAGATTGTGTCTGTTTTAAATCAGTTTGGTTTGGAGAAGGACCAAATTATATGAATGTCTTACAATGAAATTTTACTTGTTGCTGATTTTTTTGTTCTATCATACCACTATTTTTTGAGGATTTTGCACAGTGTAAAATGACATAATCATAGATTGCTATGGTTTAGGCTGTATATACAGTAAAAACTATGGGTTTTAAATGTTTGGGGAAATTCCTATGGAAAAAAGAGAGACATGTAGAAGAACCTCTAACAAGGTTAATGTGCATGCCCAAGGTCTTTTGAGATTTCAGTGTGTAAATTTCCTTTTAGCTTACAGAAAAATAAAATAATTTAAAAGAAATTTAGCCCAGTGTCTTTGTACTTTGTACTGAGGGAAAAATGTAATGAATTTGGATGTTAAATTTTATTTCATTTTAATGTATTTCATTCAGTCCAGAGGAAATCATTTGGTAGGGCTTCCACTTTGTTTAAACAAAGGAGAGTTTGATTCCAGTTCTTTTTTGGGGGGTTGGGGGGTGGGAATTAGGTTTATTTATTTTTAGAGGAGATGCTGAGGACTGAACCCAGGACCTCGAGCATGCTAAGCATGCACTCTACCACTTGAGCTATACCCTCTCCCCCTGATTCTAGTTCTTATAGGTGATATTCTATCCTTTTAGTAGCTGAGCTGTTTTTAATGTAGAACATGAGATCATACAAGAAATTCCCATAATTATGAACTATTATATACCAACAAATTGGACAGCCTAGAAGGAATGGACAAGCTTCTAGAAATACACAGTCCACCAAAACTCAATCAAGAAGAAATAGATAATTTGAACAGACCAATCATTAGAAGTGAAATAGAACCTGTAATTTAAAAAATAAACAAAAAAACCTCCCTGCAAACAAAAATCGAGGACCAGATGGCTTCATTGAGGAATTCTACCAATCATACAAAGAACAATTTACACAAATCTTTCTCAAACTCATCCAGAAGACTAAAGAGGAGGAAACACTCCCAAGCTCACTGTATGAAGCCACCATCACCTTGATACCAAAACCAGACCAAGACACCGCCAAAAATTATAGGCCAGTATCTTTGATGAATATAGACACAAAAATTCTCAACAAGGTATTAGTAAACCAAGCCCAATACATGGAAAAGATCATACGCTACAATCAGGTTGGATTCACAGGGTCACAGGCTGGTTCAACATACGCAAATCCATCAATGCGTTGCACCACATCAACGAAAGGGTAAAACCCACATGATCATCTCAACAGATGCAGAAAAAGCATTTGATAAAATTCAATATCCATTCATGATAAAAAACTTACAAAAGTAGGTATAAAGGGAACATATCTCAACATAAAAAATCTGTTTATGACAAACCTACAGCCAACATAAAACTCAAGCACGGGAAGTTGAGAGCCTTTCTGCTAAAATCTGGAACAAGACAAGGATGCCCACTCTCACCACTTCTAGTCAACATAGTATTGGAAGCCTTGGCCATAGCAATCAGACAAAAACGGGATCCAAATTGGAAGGGAAGAAGTATCTAAGTCACTATATGCAGATGACATGGTACTATATATAGAAAACCCTAAAAAGACTCCACACAAAAACTACTAGAGCTGATAAATGCAGCAAGATGGCAGGATACAAGATTGATACACAGAAATCTGTTGCATTTCCTTATACTAACAATGAAATAGCAGAAAAGTTAAAAAAAATCCCTTTTAAAATCACATCCAAAAAAGCAAATTATTTAGGAATAAACTTGACCAAGGAAGTGAGAAGTTTATACACTGAGAAATAGAAAACATTCAATAAAGGAAATTAAATATGACCTAAAGAAATGGAAAGATAACCTATGTTCTTGGATTCGAAGAATTAATATTGTTAAAATGGCCATTCAACCCACAGCAACCTACAGATTGAATGCAATCCCTATCAAATTACCCAGGACACTTTTTCACAAAAGTAGAACAAACAATCGTAAAATGTATATGGAACCATAAAAGACCCAGAAGTGCCAAAGCAATACTGAAGAAAAAGAACAAAGCTAGAGGAATAACCCTCCCAGACTTTAGGCAATAATACAAAGCTATGGTAATCAAAACAGCATGATATTGACATAAAAACAGACATATGGATCAATGGAGCAGAATAGAGAGCCCAGAAATAAACCCCCACACCTACGGTCAATTAACATTCAACAAAAGAGGCGAGAATATACAAGGGAGAGAAGACAGTCTCTTCAGTAAATGGTGTTGGGAAAGCTGGACAGCTGCATGTAAATCAATGAAGTTAGAACATTCCCCCAAACTAAACACAAAAATAAACTTGAAATGGCTTTAAAGACTTAAACTCAAAATGGCTTAAAGACTTAAACATAAGACCACCATACATTTCCTAGAAGAGTACACAGACAAAACATTCTCTGACATAAATCATAGCAATATTTTCCTAGATCGGTCTACCAAGGCAATAGAAATAAAAGCAAAAATAAGCAAATGGGACCTAATTAAACTTAGAACCTTTTGCACAGCAAGGGAAACCACAAACAAAACAAAAGGCAACCTACAGAATGGGAGAAAATATTTGTAAATGATTCAACTGACAAGGGCTTAAGTTACAAAGTATATAAATAGCTCATACAACTCAATAACTCAAAAACAACCTAATCAAAAAGCAGGCAGAAGACCTAAACAGACATTTCTCCAGTGAAGACATACAAATGGCCAATAGGCACATGAAAAGATGTTCAACATGCTAATTATCAGAGAAATGCAAATCAAAACTACAATGAAGTATCACCTCACACCAGTCAGAATGGCCATCATTTTTTCTTCCCAAGAAAAAATACATAATATGAAATTAAGATGAGCAGAAAATTTATTAAAATTAATTTTAAAATATTGTTATTAGATTAGATATTTCCTCAACAAAAAGTCACATGATATATTTCATTAGAAATAGGCGATTGGCCCAACAGTAGTCCACCTCATGTTCTATGGGGATGGTCCATTGGAACTTTTTTATTTTCCCAGACGTAGGGGGTAATTAGGTTTGTTTGTTTGTTTATTAACTAAATGGAGGAATTAGGGATTGAACCCAGGACCTTGTGCATGCTAAGCATGTGCTTCTACCCCTGAGCTATACCCTCCCCTCTCCACTGGAACTCTCGCAACTCAGTCACTGACAGAGCCCTGTGCTGCCAGGTTATCACACACGTGACTTTGAAACAGTTGCCTGAATGTAATTTAAGTAAGGCCTGGAGAGACAATAAAATTACCCAATTCATCTCCTGCCATTTCCCCAACTTTTTTCTTTTTTTTTTTTTTTTCCTCCAGAGGAGTCTTTCCTTCGCAATAGTCAAGACTTCAGTTCCTGGTGGAACTTCTGAATGGAAGAATGAAAGTATTCCTCAGCAGACCTTTACATGTTTAAGTATTTGAAGCTTGAAAGGCTGCTTCTACAGTTCCTATCAACTAAATTGTAATGGTAGCCTTCATCAACCTAAGTTCAGAGCCCATTTATTAGCTGTGATACCATGAGAAAGTTAATCAGCTTCTCTGAGCCTTAATTTTTTTAATTGAAATATAGTTGATTTACAATGTTAATGTTTCTAGTGTACAGCATAGTAATTCGGTCTTTTTTTTAATATTATCTTTTAAAATGGGGATTATACTATCTACCTGTGGAGTTGATGTATTAAATAATAAATATAAAACATCTGTCACATGAGGAGACAATCAAACAATAACCAGAGCACAGAGTCAGCAAAATCTTGAAAGGCCTCTAGGGTCTCGAGAGATTCAAGAAGCAGTCACAGGAGAAAGGATCACGTAAAGTAAGTTACTGTGCTGTTATGGTTTAAAAGCGATCAAGGGGACATTTCTCGTGAACGTGCCCCTGCTTTAATGACAGACAAAGTGGTTAGTCCATCTTATAACCACTTTTTATTATGCCAGATTTCCCTTTCACTTGTCAAATTGGCCTTCGATGTTTTTTTAATCACAACAGGTACATTAATACTGGGTTGTCATAGGTTAAGGTTAGGGCTCTAGTCCTAAGGACCAAAAGTGCTCAGCTTTGCACCAGACCAGGCAGGGCTGGAATTGCGCCGGAGAGCAACAGCAGGGCTGAGGCTGGAGACCCGAGAGCAACTCCCTCCCTGCCAGTCGCAGGTTCTCATGTTGCCTGCAAGCTTGTCTCGGTCGTCAGCCGCTTTTGGCAGCAGCTGCCTATTTGTCTTTCTCAAAGTCCACCAGGAGGGCCCAGCAAAGTTGGAGAGAAGAAACCAAGGAGTCAGGGGCCCTAAAAGCCAAACCACACAATGGAAACTGGTTTAGCAATCAGCTTTGTGTCTCTGACATCTTAAAACGAGCTCAACTCATCCCCTAGAGTCTCATCTCACTTGATGGCCAGATCCAAATAGCCACACATAATTCCCCAGTTAAGCCAAGCCAGAGTGGGAAGTATAGGAGAGGCTTCCCTAAATTGAGTCATACGTCACTACTATTTTTATGAGTCATTCTTTTATAGAGGGACTTATTCTTCCCTCTGCATGATTGTCATGCTCTTTATTTAGAACTTGGCGACTTTTTTTTTTGTTCCCTCGTGTTTCTTGAATCAGTTAGGATGAGGCTTGACTGTGAGTAACAAAATCCCAAAACACTGCATTTCATGTAATAAGACTCATACTCTTGTCACATTTGAACTTCTCTGAAATTGGAATGTGTCACACAATTGGATGGGGTAGCTGTTTAATTGGCAGTGGTTTCTTAGTGTTGTATGAAATAATGCTGTCTTAACATTCAGTGACAGAGCTGATGGAAATGGTAATTGTGGCTTCAACATTAGAAGTTTCTTTCTCTTGCCTGTAAAACATGAGGAAACAGTCTAGGGCTGTAAAGAGGCTTCACAAGCTCATCAGAGATGGAAGCTCCTACGATCCTGCTCCACCATTCTCAACAAATAGTTTCTACCTCATGGTGCAAGGTGGCTGTCGCGGGTACAGCCACTGTGTCTACATTCCAGCTATCATGGAAGAAGGGCATTCTCCTCCCACTATGGACGCTTTCTAAGGTATATATATAGTATTTCTAATTCCAATCTATTGGCCAGAACTTAGTTGCTCTGCCATACCTCGCTGCAAAAAAGACTGGGAAATACCTTTATCCTGAGTGACCATCACTAAATATAGTTTGGCCACTAAGCAGCTGTAAGATCTTGGATAAACCCCTTTTCTAAGTCTCAGGTACTTCATGCATAAAGTGAAGGGTTGGGGTCTATAGAATCGAAAGCTAAAGTAGGAAGAAACCTCAGAGAACTGGCATTTTAGGGCTGGAGGTTCAGCTGGTCCAGTGCTTTGCAAACCATTCCCAGGAGCAGCGCTGCGGGAGGGCGCAGCCCTGCAGTCAGGGGGTATCCAGTAGTCACGTGCTGGGCTTATATAGGGAGCGGCAGTGGGGGGGTTGCAAAAGATTTCATTTGATTAAAGGTTTCCATTGCTACCAAAAGATGAAAGCCAGTGATTATTAAAATCCCAGAACTGAAGAAATTGAGGCCTAGAAAAGGAAATTGGCTTTTGCACTATTAATCATCAATGACCAGAGACAGGACCTGAATCCAGTTTCCTGACTCTTGGTCTTTTCATTGACACCCTCCTGCATCTGCCCTCTGAATGGACAGCCAGTCCAACATTTCCCTGGACATTTGCAGCAACCTCACACGGGCTCAGGATCTCACAAGGCTGCCAGCCCCCAATCACATGTGCTTTGTTGGCCAGAACTGACTGTCAGGACTTCTCCTGAGTGGAAGCCTGGTTCCCCATAACCTCCTGTTGGTTCAAGTCATCCGCTCTCAAACTTCATGGGATAAACCTACTCCCTTTTCCATCAATACTGAAAGACCATTCACCTGTTCCTGTCCTCTCCTACCAGGTCTCCCATGATGACATGGTTTCCAGGCCTTTCCCATGTATGCCATCCTTCCCTGGACACTGTTCTAGCTTACCAAAGTTCCTCTTAAAACGTGCTCCCCAGGCAACCCCATGTTGCTTCATCCAGCAAGGGGCTGCGATTTTATTGCCAACACTTCTTTTAAACTTTTGCATTACTGTGTGTGTATAGCAGTAACGTTGCCGCTTTCAATTGTGTCAGCAGCCTTTTCCCCTTAACTGCCTTCAAGCCAGATTTCCTCCATCATCTACTTGTATCCTTGAGTTTTTAGATCTGAAAACAGAGTTCTAGATTTGTCCATTTATTTATTTTGTTAGCACTAGATGATCATTTCAGCCTGTCCATCTCATCAAATCTTTCCTTTTTTTTTTAATCTTTTTCTTTTTCTTCTTGTCAGGGGAGGTAATTAGGTTTGTTTGTTTTTCTTTAACGGAGGTACTGGGGATTGAACCCAGGACCTCATGTGTGCTAAGCATAAGCTCTGCCACTTGAGCTATACCCTCCCTCCTTCATCAAATCTTAAATGTACCCTCTAGCGCATAGTCTCTCCCCTCTTCCTCAGCTTTGTCATCCACAGATTGATCAATAAACTTTGGGATCCAAGTTACAGACACAGATGTACAAATCTCCACAACTCCCCTCCCAGAGCACCAGGAAGGCTGGGCATGTATGTCTTCCCAGCACAGCAGCACCCACATTTCTCCATCTTGCCCACAGATCCTAAGAACAGGCAGAACCTTGCCGAATCCCTCACACTCTGCCCATGGCATTTCGTGGGCATCCTGAGCATTCCTGTTACTGAACCGTGTGCCTGATGCAGTCAGGCCAAAAATACCAAACGAGGTTTGGAGCAGAGAAAGGTTTATTGCTGGGCCATGAAAGGAGAATGAATGGCTTATGCCCCCAAAAAACCCTGAAAGGTTTCTGCTGAGCATTTTTAAAGGCCTGCTGAGGGGGGAGGGGGTGTCCCAGGGTCTGTGATCAGCTGTGCACAGTTCTGA